TCCGCCTCCTGGGCGAGCAGGCCTGCCGCCGCTACTACCCGGTGCAGATCAGCAGCCGCATGCTGTGCGCCGGCTCCCCGCACGGCGGCGTGGACAGCTGCTCGGTGAGCGCACTCTGTGGTTGACACCGGGGCCGGGGGCCCAATCGTCCCGGGAACAAGGCACTCAGGCCCACCGGCCAGGCCCCTTTCCCGTGCACAACTCAAGTGGATCAGACACGGCACCTTCTCCGCCTCGAAGTTTCACTCGACCGTTTATTGGGCATCGGTTACGAGCCTGTCGTCCCCCCTCCTCCCCTGGGCCCTGCGGCGTTGGGACCCGCACAGGCTGCAGTGAGGCCCAGTTCTGCTAGGGAACCAAAAATACCTGCCACCCAGATGAAACAGCCCCTCCTGACACTGAACCCATTTCTCAGATAATAAAAGTGAGGTTTACAGGGGTAGCCACTTACCTGGGGTCACACAGGGAACCCACGTGACACCCGTGACCAGCCACCCAGGGTTAGGCCAGTCCGCCCTTGGCCCCAGGGCTGTCAGAGCTGTGGCAGCACTGGCTTGCTCTGAGCACCTTTCCCCTCCTCCGCTCAGGGTGACGCCGGGGGACCCCTGGCATGCCGGGAGCCATCTGGTCGGTGGGTGCTAACCGGGGTCACCAGCTGGGGCTACGGCTGCGGGCGGCCCCACTTCCCGGGCGTCTACACCCGGGTGGCAGCTGTGAGAGGTTGGATCGGGCAGAACATCCAGGAGTGACTGCACAGTGGCTGCCCAGGCCTGGGAGGCGACGTGAAGGCAAGAGGCATGCAGGCCGGCCACCCAGCCCAAGGGGAGTCCAGGTGGCGGGTGGTGGGCCAGCAGGTGGCAGGGTGCAGTTTTACCGCATATTTCACTCCAATAAAGAGCCCTTTGTTCCGAGCTTGTTGGTTCACCACCTCCATGTCACAGCGAAGACCACTCACCTGGAGATCACCAGGGCCCAGAAGTGGGGGAGGGTGTGGGAGGTGAGCAAGGGCTCAGGGAGGGCCACTTCCCCCAAACCCCACCTTTGGGGCTGGGGGTTCAGCCTCGTGTTCAAGGCTCCCTTTTGTGTGAACGCAGTCCCAGTCGTCCAAAACACCCAGCAGCACAGAGGAGAAAGGGGGGGGCGGGGCGGAGACTGAGGCTCAGTCTGGGTAGGGGACCCAGGTAGCAGGGACTCCTTCTCCCACAGAGGCGCCTGCAGGGAAGATGCACAGGGCTCTCTCCGCCCCCCTCAGCAATTTATTTGTGGGCCCACTCCCAGGTCACAACTCAGGTGCGGTCTGACGACAGGCCTCCAGGCCCCCATGAGGGTTCTATGCCCTGGGCATGAGGTTGAGCGGGTCACATCAGAGGAGGTGCCACCGCGCTGCCAGCACTTTGGGAAGGTCCAGAGCCCCCCAAGTCCCCAGCTACACTTGCTGGCGGTAGGGAGGTGGGTTGGGCGTCGGCAGAGTCCCAAGTGTCCCAGCACCAGTCTCATCCTCATAAACGAAGGGTTGGCAGTACGCTCACGCCGGCCCCCGCCTCACAAAGCGCATTTATGGAAATGGGGCAGGGCCGGGGGCGGCGCGTCCCGGTCACATGTTGGCTCGTTCCCGCTGCAGTCGCGAGTTGTAGGCGCGGGACACGGTGTTCCAGGCGTCCATGTACCGGTCCATGCACATGGCGATGCACTTCTGGAAGCGGGAAGGGCGCCCGGCTCAGTTCGGGCTTTCCCCACGACCGACGCCCCCTACCCGGGACAGCCGACTGTGCACGCGCAGCGGCCCCATCACATCGCCCCGTTAGTCCGCGCACGCGCAGACGCCCTTCGCCGGGTCCCGGCCCGCGACGCCCGCCAACCGCGCAGGTCTCACCTGCTCCGAATTGTCCAGGGAGCCCCCCGGCTTCCCGATGCACTTCCGGAAGCACTTATCCGTCATTCTCTGTGGGGAAACGCGAGCCCTCAGCCGCGACGCCCGACCCCGGCGAACCCCGCCGCCCTCGGCCCCCACCCCCGGCCCGGCCCCGGACCTGCAGGAGCTCCTGTGCGTTGGCCACGGCGATCTGCACCTTCACCTGCTCCATGATGAGCCCCGGGTCCAGCTTGCCGCCACTGGAGCCCCCGAAATCCGAGCCGAAGCCGCCCTCCATGGCTCTGCAAAGTCAACCGGACAGCGGCCGCGTGCGCCGACCCGTACCTGCGCCGGAAGCCGGCCTCCAACGGCTCCACGGCAAATGGAGTCCGGGCGCGCCGGGGGCGG